TACATGTTTAAAAGGCATATGTGTGCAAGCATTTTTATGAACATATTTGTGTGTATATATATATGTGTTGGGATTTGTCCTAGTGAGAATGTATAGCCTTACTCCTAGAGGAGAGAGGTGTAGATCAGTAGTTAGGACTCTTAGGGTGATCATAGAGAGTATGTGGCCCTGTCACTAAAAGACAGTGTGCAGCCAAGACATGAGGAAAGTTCATGTCATGTCTTGTATTTTTTTCCACTGCTTGTTGAGGTCTTGGACAGTTTGCAAACCATTCAGTTGGTTCTCCTACTGAATAATGTTTATAGCTTAGTCATTGACGGTCCTAGGGTAGAGTATATGATAATGACTACTACTATTGAAGAAGCATCTGACAAAGGATAATTGACAGATCCTTTCACCCCCCTATTCCTCCTCCCCAATTTCCCCCGCTGATACATCTCCCCAAAACCACCTTCTCTAGACCGCATAATCTGTACTCACTGGACCCTGTTGTACCTAGATGTACCCTGAGTCCATTCCCCCCACCCCATATTGCAGCCCACATTAAACCAGACTGTGATGTAATTTCTTTCCACAGAGCTAATGTTTTATAGCGGCTGCAATACCACCATTCCCAAAGTTTATCATCTTGCTTTTGATAACCTTTTGGAAACAGTTACTTGGTTTTTTTCATCTATTTGCAATGTTAATTTCTGAAAACAGTGCAGACAGTTTTTTCATGTATCTTTATTGATTCAGCCTTGTATTCATATGTACCGTCTAATGCAGGTTGTACTTTATGTGAACGTCATTCAATTTTGGTAATTAAAAAAGCAACCAGTTGGTAAAGTCCAAGCTTGACCTTTTAGCTTTCAGTAGTTTCCCAAGGAAATTCAAGCCTTTCTTTGCTTAATTTATAATTTCATTATCCTGAATAGAAAGGAAGCACTAACACATACATTTGACGTGAATTATAACTAACTTTAGTGCAGTTTTTACATGCTGCTTATGCAGCAGGAGCTTTAATAAAATGTCTTACTTTGGTTGAACTACACATCTATGAATCCTTCCAGTTCAATCTACAGTGACGATGTATGATTTGTTCTACTAAGACTGAATCCAATGTCTTTATACTGACAGCTGTTGTGATAAACTGCACAATGTTATGATGGCTGTTTCAACAGTCCAAAATACCTCCATTAGCGGGCGCCCTTTATTTATCCAAATGGAAACTGTACTGGAAATTACATTAAATATGTGCATAGGAACCGTGTGTAATTTGTAAACTTTTATAAAAGTAGAACCCTGAGGGTCAGTTCTGCAAAAACTGTATTCTTGTGGCCACTCCCTAATGAACCACATGTACAGTTATATTTCATTCAGATTGCTGAATCGAAAAGTGGAGCTATGACTGTACCAAATAGCCAGTTCTCCCAGATTCTTGGGGAATTGCTGCATGAGAGAATACATGTGTTTGATCATTTGTTGTTAGGTTCAAAGTATTTAGAACATAAATATTATTGTCATTAGACTATTGTAATCTTTAAGAGTTTAACCTCCTTCTGAAACTATAGTAAAACTACACTGTATGTTTTGAGGGTGATTTCCAGTACTGTAATAACCAGAATATTACACCTCTTGCTAACGTTTATTTTTTTTGTTATTAAAGGAGAACTATGAGGTGATTGATTGCCACTCCTCCTCATAGTTAGAGCCGACCTGTGACAAAGAAGCTGCCACAGGTCGGCTCCATCGATCGGGAAGTGAGCAGAAACATGCACCGATCCGCTCACTTCCCGATCGCCTCCCTGCAGTGAGCGATGACTGTCAGTCACCGCTCCCCGCAGGGATTTCCCTCTCTGATCCTCCATCGCTCAGTGGAGGAACAAATGGGGAGGGGGTGGGCACAGCTGGCTCTGCCTCTAGATAGGCATAGCAAGCTCTCACTCACGCAGCTGGGTGGATCTCGACAGTATTGTTGGGATCCGTCCTGGCTGCAGCGCTCTCAGTATATCGCGGGGGAATATACATTTACCGCATAGTTCTCTTTTAATGAAGTAACACAATATTATGATTTACGAATATATAATATTTTTTTTAAAATATCAGTAATTTACTTATATGTATACTTACAGAAGGCTCTTGACCTAACAGGAAGATCTGCTAGATGAGCTTTGTTATGCGCCGAGAAATAACACTGGCCAAACCCATGGCACCTCTGTGGCAGTTTTCAAAATTTGGAAAGTGAATGCAAATCACTTAACAGTCCGCAGGACTCTACCACCCACTCTTCCAACAGTTTCCTAATGACCAGATGTGTTAAACTGCAATTGAAAATTTGTAAAATTATTTGTTTTTATCAATATCCTGTGAAACAAAAGTATAACAAATTGCTGTGCATGGTTCATTTTCCTTTGTAACCATCGAAAGCTGACTGCATGTTTCCAAAATAGCCACAACATTGGCAGGTGTATGGCCAGCATAACATCTCCACTTTCTTCCTTCTTCCCCTATGGTTTTTATCTCCTACTTGCAACAGGCCTAAGGAGGCAGATAGCTTGAGCTTGCCAGGGGTTATTACATACTGAGAGGAAGGTATTGAAGGCACTGAGCATGCTGAAATATAAATGGCAGCCAAAGCACCTTGATCTCGCAATGTTTTTATTACATAGATCCTGTGATTTTAGTGTGTCTGATTCACTCTTTGCTAGTCTTTGTGCATTTCCTCTTGTAAATTTGTGTCACTGTGTTAAAGTGTATCTAATGGCAAAATGGATTAGATGGATAAATGGATTGTGTGGATGATTAGAACTGCTATCAGTTTGTTTTTTGCTGTCTGTGTACCCCCTAAAAATGTACTTTTTCTATCTGTCTTGATAATCTTTGTCATAAAGTGAAGAAAATCTAAAATGTTGAGTGATCACTAGAGAAACAGAACCTTCTTCAATTTGGACACTTGTTTTGGTGACAGCTGCCTAAGAGGGAATATGCTTCACTTCCTGTTGTGCCTGCACTACAGAAAAACAAGGGGAATATCTTGAATGGAACACAGATGGCACAAAAACATTTTAACCATTCCCCACCTTATCCAAAATTGAAAAAAAAAAACAGCTTTAGCTTTCGGTACAGCATACTGTACTTAAATATTTGTAGTTGTTTTTTTACAGTTGAGAACAGCTGCTAAGCATGCTGTCAGCAAAGAGTGGAGAATTTGCTGTTAAACACCAGACTGCATGTTTTGTTTTGTCACTGCAGCTTACAGAAATAATTGCATGCTTCATTTGTTGCTTGGCACACTAGTCCTGCTTTCACACTACTTTGCGTTTCATAAATAAGCCCCCATAGCACAGGAACTGTTCTCAATATACATTTAGGTGCCAGTTAAATGGCAAATATTTAAATGTACTACTAAGAATCTTGTTTAAATGTACCTGGGCAGGTAGGTAATTGGCATTCTGGTTGGAGCATGATCTGTGTTTTAATCAACATGGAGGACCACATAAATATGTAAATACTATATGTCCTCCCTTGAAGGCAACAGAAAGTAATTGGCAAATCAGACTCCTGTGGTTACTGTGGCAAATAGTCTACACATAATGGCACAATCATTGCAGACGTAGATATATTATGGGAGTGCAGATACCTGCTCACTTAGTGCTATCTTCCACAAGATGGTGCTGTTGCTCAGGTTCTAAGATCGTTTTCTAGCTATCTGTAGGGGTTTTTTTTGTCAGGTTTTATAAATCTTCAGCTCTCTCTCTCTTAAGGCACTAAAAGTTCCAGCTTCTGTGCTGGTTTTAAAGTGTATTATTTTGTAGCAAAATGTTCTGCAAACCAGGTGACAAGTTTCACAATGTTTTTAATTTTTTCTGTAAAACCATCTTCCCTTACAGAATTACCCAAAGTTATAAGTGGGTAGCCAGTTGTGCGGGTTGATGCCCTGAGCAGACACTCCTGGTGCAGGAACAGCAGCGACTGGTCAGGAAAATTCCTCCCGATGACTCATTCTTTCATTTGATATTAGTTGGCCTAAAAGGAAAGTCTGTAACCTTTATCTGCATTCTTCCTCCAGGTCATTGACCCTGAGAGTTTCAAAGCAAAAGCAAGACAAGGGAAAAATTATTTTCTCAATAAGCATTTAGCTTATTTAATAAGCATCTTTCCCTGATAAGTTTCCTGTAATATATATATATCATATTTTTACATGTTCCTGATGTTGTATTTATTGTAGAGAACGGCAGGTAAGCTACTAGAGAGAGCTCACCACACTGCTTAACAACTGTTGAGATAAGACAGCTGGACATAGGGAGAATTTTCAATGATTCATAGACTTGGATTGGGAGAAGGAACAGTAAGGCTCAACCATTGTGCACCAGAACAAGGCAGGAATTGGAAGCTGTGTATGTTTTGAGACACTATGACTGCCCCATGTACATATTTAATTTCAAACAATAAATAAAGTAAATTATTCAGACTAAACTGAAAATACCATAAGCTGGAGTGTCTGTGTTAAATGGCCCACCTACAAAATTCTAATGAACCTCACCATATATTTATAAAAAGAACACTAGGCCTAAAGTTTATGCTGCATGAAAAAAACATGGACAAGGCTCTTGCCATGAACGCAGCCAGAAACTGCATGTCATACAGTCATGCCAGGATCTGCAGGTCTGGGAGCCCAGCAGGGAAGATTGATATTTTTGTTTTGCATTAGTTAGTGCTATTTTTGTTCTACCTTAGCAACCCAACCTGCCTGGTGATCAAAATTACATAGATCACCCACATTTTCTACAAGTATGAACGCTTCCCCTTCATTGGAATTTTTTGTGGGCTTAGCAACTTTTGGCTCCATGAACTGCACCACTGTGTAATTTTCCAATTAAAGTGGCGGTGACTTAAGTATGTAATCTTCAGTCACTTTTATATCAGAAATGCATGAATAGACATGTCCTGTGGTAAGGGGTGAATGCTAGAAGTTTAAATTGTATTGACAAATCATTTCTCACATGTTTCATTCACAGACATTCAATGAATTATTCAATGCCCACAAAACTGAAGCAGATATTTTTGCAGTTGTCTCCAAAGCTGAAGAATTTGAACAGATCAAGGTAAGATAACATCTGCTAAATCTGCGCTTAACATTTGGTTGATACATTTTAAGGACTGAGGTCCGGTCACCTGACTTGACTTTGTTCTGTCCGAGAAGGCTGCATCTGATAACACTAATTGTCATACTAATTTTACTTTTTAGTAGTAGTGAAGTTTAACACATACAGTACAATATAAAACATTTTAAGAAGGTGTCATATTAATGTTTATGATGTAAAAATATTTTACAGGCATTAAAGTTAATGCCATGAAAACAGTCACCCCTTATTAAAATGCACAGTAGGTTTTGCATTTGCACTTAGTGATAAGAACCCTCTTAAACACACACACACACACACAAGACGGCTTTTTATACTTAAAAACATCCTCCGAGAATGGGGGGTCATCTTATACGCGGGGTATACAATGTGAACCTTTTGTTCGTTTGGGCCAAGCTGGCTCCCCAAAAATTAAAAAGAATTCTGGGTTTGAAAGTTAGAATTCTGGGTTTGAAAGTTAGAATTCTGGGTTTGAAAGTCAGAATTATGAGTTTAAAAATCAGAATTTTGTTTTATTTTTTATTTATTTTTTTGCATGGCCCCAGGGCCCTTCCATACATAAATAAATTGATATGGTTATAGAAAAATGTAATATTCCTACTGGCTTCCCTTGTAAAGAAAAAGTGCGTAGTTCATATACCCCTTACCTTTATTTATCACGTTGATTAGTAGACAGATTCCATTCCATTGTGAAGAACTTTTTTAAGATGCTATTCAACTGGCACAAAGTTTGACATGAGGGTAAAGGGACTAGTCCACTCAAACTTAATATTTTAATTATAGATGGAATGTGGTTGGCTGAGTCAGCACCTGGTTTCCTATTTATCTTTGCTACAGTATGATCTACCATGACTTTAGACTGTCCCACTGGGTGTTTGGGTGTTTCCACCCAATTTTCGCATGTTCCTGACTTTCTATTGCATTCTCTATAATATAAAATGAATAAAGGACTTAACAGGGAGCATGGGAACCCCTTATAATAGGCAGATTGGATGTGCAGATGCAGGATCTCACAAGCAAAGGTCTTACCAATAGATTTTGATTTTTCAGGACATTTTTGTCTGCTATTTGAGTGTTTAAAATTGATTCTCTCCACAGTGGTACCGTATGTGCCTCCTAAAGAAATGTTGTTTAATTGATGATTGGTGCATAACCTAACTCTGATTTTAAAAACATTTTTGTCCAAATTGTGTACAATGTTTCCAAAGAATACAGACTTCCAAAACTACCACTTTCTGATGTATATGTCAAGCTAATGAGATGTAAGGTATAAAGCAGGCATGTGTGTTAATGTTTTCAAGCTATCCACTCTGTCATGTGCATTAGTTTTCTAAAGCTATAAAAGTCCCTCAATGGATCAACTGTTACTGCTCTTCTATGAGACACAATATCAGTTTCAGATATGCTTTCTTAGAGATGCTATCAATCTCAAAACTTTTTGTAAATATTTCCTTAATTTATGATATGCAGGACTAAAAAAAAAAACCAATATATTTAACTGTTTATCAGTTAAACATAAAATATTGTGTCAACATCCAGCAGGTGGAGCTCTGGGCTACTTTACCCTTTTTGTAAAATAGAAATTTTTGCTATTTAATTTTGGTCTTGATCTCGATAAATCAGGATTTTGTGCTTCTTGAATTACCCATGCAACACACCTTCTTACAGGAAAAGGTTAATCCTGCGTAGAAAGGAGATTAATACATGTACAGTAGAAAGACACAATTTCTTAACTGCCCCTATTTTACATTGAAAAACACTATATTTGAATCTTGCTAGGGCTGTGGAGAAGTTCTGGACTTACTGGAGCGGATCTTCACATTCCTAATTTGACTTATGTTGGAAGATATGCCTAACCATGAGTCTGAATTCAGCAAGGAATTTGCCTATTTCAGCTAACTCTTCCCATCCCTCATGTAAACTTAGTATTTCACTGCAAATTACAATGAAATATGGGTACAAGCTTTTCGGTGTTGGAAACAGTTTCTTTGCTTTATAGGAAATAACCCTTTCTTAATATGGTTTTGTACATGATAAACAACCACAATACATATTGAAACTGTTTCCATGACAACAAAACCCTTGAATGGCTTTGGCCAGTTAATAGCAAATTTTTATTTTTTTTGCCTTTATTTGCATCATGGCCTTTTAATTTGACTAACACTAGTAATATTAAAAGAGCTTTTTAAAATGTAACCAATTCCTTTTTTTTTATTTTTTTGTGTTTGTTTTAGAAAATGTTATTTGCCCTGCAGTTTTTATCACTATAAATGATGTGATATGCATGTCTTATGCTGCCCACCTGCTGCATATCTGTGGTGTGACAATAATGAATATATCCAGCGTTAATTCGAGGTTGTACTAATCTGGATGAATAAAGGTTTTTCTTTGGTCAGATAGAAATGAAATCTCATCATTTGCAGGATGGTGAGGTTAGCAGGCCAATTTGTTTAGCATAGCAATTTTTTCGGTGTCAATGGCAGCCTTAATAATAGTGATGAATAATAAAATGTAATTGTGTCATTATTAATTCACTTTGAATTAGGTCTCTTTAGTTACAGAAGAACAATTTTCTCTGTAGTCTTTTGATAGAGGTTTGAAACCGTATGGAAGCAAGAAATAATTGTGTATATTCTCTGAATGCCCACAGCTAGCTATGGAAGTCTAAAGTGTTTTTTTTATTACTTATAGTGTCAAAGACACTCTGAAGTTGCTGTTAGTTTGTATCTTTTTTTATTGCATGTAATTAAGTTTTTTATTTATCTATCAAATATTATTATTATACAGGATTTATGTAGCGCCAACGGTTTGTGCAGCGATTTACAAAATAGGGGAGAGAGTACAGTTACAATACAATTTACAAAACAATTTCAGTACAATAGGGTTAGGAGGGCCCTGCTCGTGAGAGCTCACAATCTAGCAGGAGGGGCAAGTGATGCAAAAGGTAATAATTGTTTAGATTGAGTTAATGGAAGAAGTAAAAGGGCAGTTATGTTGAGATGGGATATGCTTCCCTGAAGAGATGTTTTTTTAAGGATTGCCTAAAGGTGAGCAGCGTAGGAGATAGGCGGACAGATTGGGTAAGGAGTTCCAGAGGATGGGAGACACTCTTGAGAAGTCCTGGAGGGTTGCATGGGAGGAGGTAATTAGAGAGCAGGAGGTCCTGAGAGGAGTACAAAGGACAGTTTGGGTGATATTTTGTGATGAGGTGGGTGATGTAGGTTGGGGCGGAGTTGTAGATGGCTTTGTATGTTAGTATTTTGAATTTTATTTGTTGGGCAATTGGGATTGGCAGAGAGGGGCGGCAGACACTGAATGGTTGGTAAGGTCGATGAGTCTGGCAGCAGCATTCATGATAGACTGAAGGAGGGATAAGCTGTTAAGTGGTAGGCCAACAAGGAGGGAGTTACAATAGTCGAGACGAGAGATTACAAGGAAGGGAATTACGAGCTTTGTGGTTTCGTTTGTTAAAAAGTATTTTAGAAATGTTACGGAGGTTGAGTCGGCAAGATTTAGATAGTGATTGTATGTGGGGCTGAAAGGAGAGCCCAGAGTCAAGGATTACACCGAGTACCCTGGCTTGATGGGAGGGGTTGATCTTAGTGCTGTTGATTGTGACAGATTAAGTTTGAGGTAGTGGTGTGACATCCATGCTGAGATGCCACTGAGTAGATTAGAGATACATGAAGAGACTGAGGGGGTGAGCTGAGGAGTGGAGAGATAGATTTGGGTGTAATCAGCTTAAAGGTGGTATTGGAAGCAATGGAAGGCTATCAACTGATCCAGGGAAGAAGTGTAGATAGAGAATAGAATAGATAGAGAATAGAAGGGGCCCAAGGACAGACCCTTGGGGGACCTCCACGGAAAGAGGAAGAAGAGAGGAGGAGGTAGAATTGTAGGTGACACTGAAGGTACGCTGAGATAGATAGATGGATAGATAGATAGATAGATAGACAGACAGACAGACAGAGCTAAAGGGTGACCGGAGTAGTTGTGAAGGGATGGGGTCCAGGGGGCAGGTGGTTAGGCGTGTGTTAGACAAAAGAGTAGCGACTTTGTCGCTGGTAACTGGATCAAATGAAGAGAGTAGTGAGTGTGGTGGCAGACAAGCTGTGTTTGGAGTGGGAGAGATCTGGACAGTGGAGATTTCATTCTGAATTGCATCAATCTTGTCTCTGTTGGAGGGGAAGGAAGGGGACGAAGTAGTGAGTTGAAGATGGAAAAGAGCTGTTGAGGCCTGGATGAGAGGGTGTTAATGAGTGTGATGCAATAGGTCTGTTTGAATGTTCTCATAATATAGCTCACAGTCTCATGTCCGCCACATATATTTCTCTGATATATACCCCTCCTAGCACTTCTGTCTTTACCTGACATTTATATGGATGCATATGCACACATACTATTGTTGTCATTAGCCATTCAACTTACTGTACCAGTATGTTTTGGATTGTGGGAGAAAACCAGATTACCATGGGGGAACTCACATAAACACTGACAGCACCTGAAAACCCATCTGATTATACATTTTGTAATAATATATCAATCCTTATAAATGATTTGGAAGGATTACCATTTGCCATATGGTCTGTACATGCAACAGGAAGCTTGATTAGGACTTTTAAAATGAACATACCTTTTCTAGATATGTGGAAGGACACAGAGGGAGGAATAGGAAATGTTTACATGTAAGCACAATGGCGTAGTGGTTAGCGAATCCTTGGTTCGAATCCCAGCCAGATCACTATCTGCAAGGAGTTTGCATGGTCTCCCTGTGCTTGCGTGGGTTTCTTCCACGTACTTCGGTTTCCTCCCACACTCCAAAATATGCTTTAAGGGTAATTGGCTCCAGTCTAAATTGGCCCTCGTATGTATGCATGTGAGATAGGGATCTTAGATTTTAAGCTCCTTGAGGGCAGGGACTGATGTGAATGTGCAGTATGTAAAGCCCTTTGCCCTTTATAAATATCTTAAATACATAAATGTAATCTATTATGATATTGTCTTGAAAGGATTGCTTAGTGTTTTTGTCATTTTTCTTTATTTATGATGTACAGAACTAAGAAACAACATTTTAAAGAACACCCCCCCCCCCCCCCCCA